AAATTTGACTATGTCAAATTTTGGCACATTCGTAAGAAAATCATTTATACTAGTACTACCTTAAGTCATATTAGGTACAATATTTAGGTACGTATCTAGTATGCGTAGATGTTACTTTTTTTAAATCTTTACTGCATCTATATATATAAATCTATATATATATAAACAATACCACTTTTATTAAAATTAAGTAAATAATAAAAATAGTACATTGCATTTTACTTCTTAATCTGATATAATAAGAATAATATCACTTTTATAATTTGATACAATAAAAATAGTATTACTCGGTAATTTATTTACTTTAAACAAAATAATAAATAATACTTAATAAATTAAATTTTTGATAGGCGCAATGTATATGTGTATGGAGTTACCCTAAATATTTAAGAAAAAAAAGAATAAAGAGCTAGGGAAAATAAAGCGATTTAATTATTTGTCTAATATAAATCACAGAAAATCTTAGAAAATGTATTATATAAATGTATTATATAAATACGCTTAATTTATATAATTTTTGTAAAAGAAATATAAAACAGTCATTTTAATTATTTGTAAAAGTTTTATAAAATTAAAGTAACTGTTTTGTTGGTTCCACACTCTAAATTTTTGGGAGTGAAATTTCACTCCAAGAAAAGTGATAGTTGCGCCAGTTCTGGCGCAGAATTAATATTTTACTTCACTCAAGGAGTGAATTTCTTAAAAGATCAACTTTAATTATTATTAATATCTCGCTTCGTGAAGTAGAGTGACGCTTTTTTTACCAGATTTGTTCATTTTGTGTAAAAGTACATTAAATGAGATCTAATTTCATCAAAATTAAAGGGGGGAGCGAGGGGGATAAACTTAGAATAAACATTTAGAATAAAATCACTAATTGTGGATAGCTCTTTAAGAAAAAATTCATATTCAAAACAATATTGAACATTTAATAAAATATTTAATATTTATGAGTGTTCATATATTACATTATGAATGATTTTATTTCATTATGGTTTTATATGTTTGAATTAAATAGAGTAATAACAATTATTCACAATTAAATCCTATGTAATTGCGGATCAATTCACCAAATTTATTCTTTTTGTTGACGTTACTATGTCCCAAGAACAAGAATAATAAAAATGATTTGCGCATTTATATCGTAATATATATAATATAATGAAATTATAATTGATGATCAACATCTAATTCTAGGATCTAATTGTGAATCATAATGTAATTTTAATATATTCAAATTTATTTAAATTAGTGACAATTATATTATGGAAATCAATGATAATTAAACTTATAATAAAAATTAATGAAATACGCACAAACTTACGGATTTAAAATAAAATAAAAACTATTCTTATTGAAAAAAATTGTACAGAAGAATCGTAATATATATATTGTATAATAATTCGCCTAAATTTTTTTACTACTAATAAAGAAAACTTTTTACAATTTCCTGTCATAAAATGACTTACTTTTCAATTTTATAATACAGTTCTTTGTTCTTTCTAGCGTGAAAGGACAGGAGGTGATTTTCCTGCTAAGAGATTGCAGATTAAAAATTAGTTTATATTGGTTACGTATTTTATATTATTTCGCGAATTCCTAAATCAGCAACAAACTTCCATCATAAAATGATTTATTTTCCCACACTGGAACATAGTTCTCTCTTGTGTAAAAATTGCAAGGACTGACTTTTCTGCTAGAAAGTTGCAGTTAAAAAATTAAAGATTACATATTTTTGTATCAGATTTGCCAGAATCATATTCATTAATTTTAGATATAGTGCTATTTTCAATGACTTACCCAAAACTAAAAAAGTGAGTGTAGACTAATTTTGGAATTATTTTAGAGATAAGGGATAGGCTCAAAAATCAAAAGAACACTGATTTAAAACCTCATAAAGAGCTCTTAATTCTGAATCTACGAGCGATTTCCTATTGTTAATTTTAAGGGGCTGAGTGATTAAGTAGACATCCACTCAGCCCCCTACTTTTAAATTAAGATTCTTGCTAATCGGAACAAGCTCAAAATTTTTTTTTGTGGAGTTTAAAAACTCATGAATTGCTCCCAATTCTGAGCTGTGCGTTCTTTTATTTTGGCGAGAGGAGTCAACTGAACAAAGATAATCAATGATGTGTCAATAACATGTAAATCGTCTGTAAATGCTATGTATATTTTCAATATGACTAATCGTCTTTACGGTCCTTTTAAAACAAATAAATCTTTTCGGGATGGCATTATTTGTAAGACAGATTTAACAAGTTTTTCAACATTTTTGCAATAAATTTATACAATAAAGTATCGTTAATATAGTGATTAAACAATATTCGCGAACATATTTAATCTCTGACTGAGCATATAATATTGATTTTTTTTCTCTTCTTTCAGAGAGTGAAATTATTTACTCTCCGCAAAGATGGAAAATTGACTCTCGCTTGGAGATTCTTCGCTCTTTAAGAGTGAAAATTTCATTCCTACCAGAACGCAACTACCATTTTTCAAGAATGAAATTTTACTTTTAGAAATTTAAAGTGTAATGTTATCCAAAAGTAAAGTGCAATTATCTAGTGCAAAGCTATTAATTTTCGAAGAAAAATATTATGTAAAAATCACTTTTTCATAAAAAAATATTGTTGCTTATTAATAAAAGTACGAACGTTTTTAATGATATCTTATTGTATTTCATAGTTACGCTGGAATCCATTGTTACTGGTCTGGCCAACGGTTGGGCTTCCCCATATTTAGCGCAATTAACATCAGCGGAAGCAGATGTTTCTTTGAAACTCACCGATATCGAGGCATCTTGGGTCGCATCCCTTTTAAGTCTTGGACGTGTAATTGGGGGGTTTATCGGCGCATTTTGTCAAGGTAAGAGACTCTATCATATTTTGCTAGAGAAACATACATATTCATCTTCTTAAGGAGAGAGCCTGGTTTAGGAGGCCGGAAAAAAGGTGATTTTTTGTAATTTTTTTTTTTAAAAAGAATAGTAATGAGAATTTAAAAAGAATAGTAATTTTATCATTTTTAAATTTTTTGCATGTTATAATACTATTATTGAAGAATGTAATTAAATTTTGTTGTATAAAAAATATTATTAATGGCAAAAAAATTGACATTTGAATTTGCGTCTTGTCGACATTATCATTTTGTGTACAATTTCTTTAATTTTTGCTGAAACAAAAATCAAGAAATATTTTTAAATCTTATATAATTTTATTCTAAATGAACTTAAAAAATTAAACAAAATGTATATAATTTAAAATTTTATATGATTTTATTATACTTTAAAAAAAAAGTTACGATTTCTCTTTTGGTAACGTCTATTTTTTTTAGGCAAAAAAATTGTTAATGTTTTTTTTTAATTTCTTAGGTTTATTGAAGAAAATTAACATTATCTAACAAGCCTTATACATACAATTATCGATCATACAATTTATACATACAATTATCATACATACAATTATTGATCAACTACTTTATTTGTAATTGTGTACATAAAATTAAAGAAAATGCCAAATGATTTCGAGAAAAAAGCGTTTAAAGTTTTCAGTGTAAAAATTTTTCAGTAAAAAAATTGTAGCTCTTGAATACAGTGCTACAGAAGCTAATTTTTTATTTCAGGAGCATATCCCTTTTGTTTCCTCATTAAATTCATTCCAAGCAATTTGGGCCAGCCTATGAGTTGCTGAAAGCTTTCTCTACCGAATCATTGGCGCTCCTACCTGGAGGTTCACTGTGCATCATTTAGGCCCAGTATTAATTTCATTCCGACCCAGTATTAATTTCTAATTTCATTAATGATTTTTAAAACATCCTTTGCTGAAAATGCCATCGATAAAAGCGGTGATTTCGAAAATTTTTCAATGTAATTGAAGTGTTTTGGCGCCAGTTTCCAGATGGTCGAGTTAAAACGTTCATTCATGTTCTGGATATGTTCACTCAGACATCGTTAACAAATCGTTTAATTGACAGATCGGTGTAAATAAGAATCAAATGCTTCTCAATATCTCAATAATCGTCGCGCTCCCGTTATAAACACTGAATTTACTGAAAAATTTCTTCCAAAATTTGAGTAACATATTCTCGAAAAGTATTGTCGTTTTATGAAAAAAATTTTTGTTTACCCTGTAAACCAGGCCTTCCCTTAAGATACATCGAGCATAAATTTAAAAGGATTTATCGAGATAAATTTTCTTCAAATCAAATTCATTGTTTAAATTCTTTCTATTATAGATGTATCCCAACATAGATTAACTGTGTCAGAATTACCAAACATTCTGTATGTAATACATATTTATAAATCATAAATTA